TTTTTTTTTTTTTTTTTTTTAGACATGTTTCATTGTATCCTCTCTGTGTTTGCTTTTATATGTTAGGTAGATCTTCTATGTCTCCAGGTGTTGGCTAGGTGGCGTTCTAGGTATCTTCTGGGACCAGTAGCACAGTTTCCCTGATCCCCTAAGCTGGGCCATGTTGGTGAGTTGGGTTAACTCTCATACTGACTGGTTTAGCCTTGACTATAGAATACAAGCTTCTGTGTTAGGGTCACTTCATAGAGCAAGATTTGCCACAGTGAGGTTCTGTTGCCCACTGAGACCACCTATTTGATTTGCCATTTGTAGAGCTAATTGGGTGGGTACTCTGTTGTGATCTGATGCAGATACTAGGTGTGTTGGTTCTGGGGCTTCTTAGGAGAGACTAGTTCAGACCAGTGTCAGATTCTGCTTATGACTGACAAAAGGGGATCTGGAATAAACTGAAAAGCTACCTTTGGTTGTTAGATACCTGTGCTATATTGGAGGTGTGTAGAAGAGGCCATGCTGCAAACCAAATTGAGGCTGGCTGCCCCCAGTAAATTACCTGGGGCCACTCAGCAATAGACACAGTTTATCCCAGGAATACCTGCAGCTGCTGAAAGATCCTCATGCAGTTAATGATATGGATGGGGTGGTGGTATTCAGCAGGTTAATGTAGATTCTTATTGGTGCCAGTGTAGAGTCTGGGGCCACTCATCAGACACATAGGGCACTACAGCCCAGCTGCCACCTGCTTTAGGCCTCACATTTGAGAATTTTTAAGAAATACTAAAGTTTTAGACACTGAAAGAGCCCCTGGTGGTGTAAGGAGTTGAGTGGGGTCTGAGGAAATCATCAGAGTGGAGTGAGGGGCGTTCACCAGTTAATGCAGATTCAGATTTTGAATCTGAATTCTGTAACAAGCCTTGGTCCACTCATCAAAAGGCACAGTGCACATGGAGGCCAGGCACCTCGTTCCTGTGGCCTGCATACCTTTGAGGGTTTTTAAGAATGACTGGAGTAGAGACCAAGGCTGGCTGCCTGTGGCTGAAAGAGCTCTTGCTAATGCCTTGCTGAGTCCAGCTGCCAGCTCCTGAAAGCACTGTGGCAGTGTGAGAGTTGTGTGGGACAGGGTCTCACGGAATCACCATGGTGGGGTGAGTGGTGTTCATCAGGTTAATTTGGATTCAAATTTAGTGCCCACCTATGCCCAGAGGCTGTGTGGCGGGAGGGATCAACACAGGATAGATAGTGCTGGCCTCTTTACTGTGTGGGAGGGGCAATTGTGGCTGTTTCTTCATCTCTCTTTCCAAAGCCACACAATTCAGCCTCTACCCATACATCTCTTTTGCACCTCCCACATTCTCCCTTTGCTGGACCTCAGAGTGAGTGCCTATGAGTGAGGGAGTCTGTACATGACCCCTTTAAGAGGATACTTGTGTTTCCAGGAGCTTTTTGTCTCACCCAGACAGATGAAATTATCCCTGATTTTCACAGCCAGATGTTATGAAGGCTCCTTCTCCTGGCACAAGTGCTCTGGGCTCAGGAGTCCAGTGTGAGGCTAGGACTCTTCACTCCTCAGAGGGAATCTCTGCAGCAAATAAATCCCTCTCGATTCCTAACTGCCACACATGGGTGTAGAAATAGCATATTTTGTGTCTCCACCACTCCTAGTGATGTCAATGTGACTTCTTTACATCCTTAGTTATAGGACTTCTGTTCAGTTAGTCTTTGGGTGACTCTCCCGGTTGATTGTTCTATAATTTAGCTGTAATTTTGATGTGGTCATGGGAGGAGGTAAGCACAGCACCTCCTTACTCCACCATCTGGAACTGAGGCCCCCAGGGTCTACTTATTATTCTCACTGAATTAACAGCATCCTTTCTGGCAATTCAGATGCTTGTCTTTGCTAAGATCTCCTTGCTCTTGATAATGTACTATTTTTAAGTATTCAAAACTGTGTGGTGTGTTTTTTTTCACATCTCTCTGTGTTGTTGTTGTTGTTGTTTTTTTTTTTTTTGTTTGTTTTGTTTTCATTCCTTACCGTTTTTACAAAGGAAGTGTTCTACATTGGTAGTGGCCCAGAATAGTACCAAGGTTAAATCAAAAAGGAAAAAAAAAAAAAAGCAGGAAACAAATGATCTCCATGCCCTAATTTGAATACTTTAAAATATTTTATCTTTGTGGTTCTCTAATTTTTCTCAAAGGTAAGTGCTAGTCCAAATAGGATGGATATTCATGGAAGACTGAGATGTACTATATCCTCTTTATGTGTATCTCTAAATATCTCCAGTAGAACAAGACACAAAGTAGATATTTAATAAAATATCTGTTAATCAATTTAAAGAAGACAAAAAGCACTCCCTTTCACAAATCGTGTTTAAAGCTTTGACGTTACTTTCCCTAATGTTGGTTTCTCACATGACTAGGGGCAACTTTCACACTTCTGTGAGAACTTGAAAATATCTGTAGCAAATTCCTTCAATAACTTCTACCTCACTACAGAATTGACACTGGCAAACTGCCACTAGGTTTAGTCTTTTTAACCATCCTTTTATTCTACCTCCTAAATCAGTGTGATTCTCTGGATCAGAATCCAGTCTAAAGATCTGTCTCAAAGTAGCAGACTTCCTTTTTTAGATGACCACATTTTCTCAGTAAAGTGAATGAATGAGTCTGCAGTTCGTTCAATGTGCCCATCCTTTTTCTTGGCATGTTTGCCAGAGACCTGGCACATTTTTTTTTTGTTTGTTTGTTTTTTTTGGCTGTGTTGATAGTGACTGGATAATTTAGAGGTCTGGGACATGATTACAGATGTGGAAACATCTACACAATAAAGAATGAGAGATAATAGCTTTTTAAAAAATAACCACATAGAAAAGTACCTATGAATTATTCACTAGTATTGTGCTTTAGATCTATAGTGCATAAGAAAAATTTTATTATATTTAATGTGCTCAAAAATGTAATTACATTTGGGTAGCTGAAAACACACATTATTTTGAAACTACAGGAGATAATAGTAAGAAAGAATTCTTCAAAACAATTGTGAGCACATGCTTAATTAAGATCTGCGTATCGCCGAAACTGGTTTGACTCAGTGGACTGAAAGATCCCAGGTTGATTCCAGTCAAGGGCAAGTACATTGGTTGCAGGCACATTCCCAGTAGGGAGTGTGCAAGAGGCAGCTGATCGATGATTCTCTCTCATCGATGTTTTTAACTCTCTATCCCTCTCTCTTCCTCTCAATAAAATATATTTAAAGAAGATCTGCGTATCTGCAATAGTCATTCTTTGAGCTAACCTAGAGAAAGACCTCTACAGAGATAAAAAAGTTGATATAAGATTACTCATTTATGCCTAAAAATAAGGCAGTGGAAATTCTAATGTACACACACAAAAAAATAAAATCATTAAGTGGTATAATAAGCAACTATTATATCAAATTTTCAAACGTTGATTTCATATATTATGTGATAAAAATGCAGAGGAGAGAACTGTTCTGAGGTCCATGTGGGGACTGAATTTGTTCTTGATCTGTCCTTCAAATGATAACATAGGTTTATACAGTAACAACCTTAAATAGACCTCACTGTATATTCATATACATTATCTCATGTAAAGTTTTGTGTCCCTGCAGCAGTCTAAGAAATTCATGAAAAAGAATGTGTTGGTGTTGTAGTCTACCAAATGCTGCTTCCTGCTGGTATGCAATAGTAATCAATACCACATACAGAAACCTAGATTAGACAAAGACTTCTAAACAACACTAAAAGCATCAAAGGGATTGGTGGTTGCCAGGGGTTAGGGGAGATGAAAGTAGGCAAGCTGTTTAATGGATAAGGAGTTTTACTTTGGAGTGATGAAAATGTTTTGGAACTAGATGGAGATAGTGGTAGCACAAATAATTATGAATGTACTAAATTGTTTATTTTTAAATGGTGTATTTTATATTATGTAAATTTTATTTCAATAAATTATTATTTTTTAAAATCAAAGGAGACAACCCCACTGAATCTGAGGAAGTTGTGTAACGAAGACAAAAGTAGATTCTGGAGGCATTGGTTTGTGGATTAGAATGTTCCAGAGAATGTGCTAAAATGTTGAATTTAGCAGGCACTGAGAGGAATGCCTCTAGGGAAAAATAGTGCAATTTGTAAATTTTGGAGGTATAAATGCATGAAAAAATAAAATTTTTTAAAAACTGGGAAAGTTATAAATGGGAGGAGATCCTTTTTTACAGCAGCATAATATTCCATTGTGTAGATGTACCACAGTTTTTAATCTACACATCTGCAGGTGGGCACTTATGTTTTTCCAAATCTTAGCTATTGTAAATTGTGCTGCTATGAACATAGGGGTGCATATATCCTTTTTGATTGGTGTTTCCGGTTTCTTGGGATATATTCCTAGAAATGGGATCACTGGGTCAAATGGGTGTTCCATTTTTAGTTTATTTTGAGGAAACTCCATAGTATTCTCCACAGTGGCTGACACCAATCTGCATTCCCACCAGTAGTGCATCCTCACCAGCACTTGTTGTTTGTTGTTTTTTTGATAATAGCCATTTTGACAGGTATGAGATGGTACCTTGTTGTTGTTTTGATTTGCATCTCTAGTATGGTTAGTGACTTTGAGTATGTTTTCATACTTTTCTTGGAGCTGGAGAGCATTATGCTAAGTGAAATAAGTCAGTCAGAGAAATGTAAATATCACATTACCTGACTCATTTGTGGATTATAATGAACAGAAACTGATGAACAAAAACAGATTCAGAGACTGAGAACCAGATGTTCAAACCTCAGAGGGAAGATAGAGAAAGGTGGGAGGGAAGGGGGAGAGATCAACCAAAGGACTTGTATGCATGCATATAAGCATAACCAATGGTCACAGAGGTAAGGGCATGAGCATGGGGGTTGGGAGGGGGGCACATAGGGAGGATAAGGACACATATGTAATACCTTAATAAATAACAAAAACTTGGAAAATTAAAGGGACTTGGAAATTGTAATTACCTTCCACTTCACAGCCCAGCAGCTCCATTCTTAGCCCTAGTCCACCATGAGTGGCTCTCTCAGGGTAGATCCTGATGAATCGTGTGGAAAGAGGTTGAAAAGTTCGTAGCTCTGGGGTATCATAGTTGCTGTTTCCTTCAAAAGACTGTGAAGTATGAAAAACACCAGTTATTAGTAATACCTCCCATTCAGCAGAAGAGTCTCTTCTCCAGTCTTTTAATAGAGCAGAGAAATAGGGATCATTCTACCACATTGTAAATGCCTGACATTCTTTCATAAATGAGAAAGGAAAAAACAATTTGACTTCTTTAAGAAGTGATAAATGTCATTTCTCAGAAATGAGAGTATGCTTTGAGGTTTTGCCAGAAGCAGTCATGAAACATGTTTTTAAATGATATGTTGATGTGTCTTAGAGAAGCGATACTTTAACCACTTCCTTGAGGTGGAGGACTGTGATCCAAGAAGAGAACTTACCACTTTTCAGAGCTTATAATAATCACCACATTTTTAATAATTACTCCTGTTACGATCTCTTAAATGAGTGGGTTCTCTAGAAGAGGGATGAATTAAATTGCTGAAGAAGGAAATAATAAATTTAATGCAGTGCAAATGCTGTTTACTCAAGAACTTGTGTTATTCCAATGCCTGAAAATTCTATTTACATAAGGTGTTCCAGCACCTGGGTGACTGTGATGACCAAAATGACCATTTGACTGGTCACCATGTGGGGCTAGCATAGATGCATAGACACAGGTAGAGTATATGAGTGAACAAAGAATGAATTAGACAAATGCTTGCCTTCATGGAGCTCACACTATAAGAAGGTTAAGTCAGGGATGAGAATTCAAAATTGTCACCAGCACAGACCCAAGGTGTCGCTTCTCAGAGTGGGTAGAGATACACCCAGTAGAGGCCTGGGACATGGGGGCATGACTGAAGGGCTGGTGCTGATGTGAAGGCAGGGCCGTTCTGGGTTTCCCAGAGGAGCCAATGGCTACCTAGGAGGCAGAGCTTTTGACACTGACTAGCATAGAAACTGACTTATCGGAACCAAATCTGGGTGAACTGTGCAGAGCTAATAGCTGCTTGGGGGGTGGAGCTTTTAATGCTGACTGCATAGAAACTGACCAATCAGAACCTAATCTGGGTAAACTGCAAAGGCAGAGCCTAAGATGGGCATTGAGGAGGGGTTTTAAGGGCAACAGCTGTTTGGTGTAAGGTGTAAGAAAGCAGTTCAATTTTTTAATAACCAGTTTGACAGTACAGTGCATATGGCTATCAGTCCAGATATAGGATTTATGTACTTTTGTCTGCCAAGAGCATCTCCTCCTGCTGAAAAAGGCTTCCTCTTCCTCCCCCCACTTAAGCAACCTATCCTATATAATCTATCAATACTAATAAAAGGGTGATATGTTAATTAGACTGGGTGGACCAGCCATCTTCCAGATGTCAGACTTCCTTCTGGACAAAGCCATGATGGTGGGGGCCAAAGCAGAGTGAGTTAAAGGCAATCAAGCGGGCAGGGGAGAGCAGTTAGGGATAAAATTAGGCTGTCAGGGGAGGGAAGTTGGGGGAATCAGGCTGGCCAAGGAGGCAGTTGGGGGTGAACTGGCCTGCAGTGGAGGGCCATTAGTGTTGACCAGGTCAGCAGGGGAGAGCAATTGAGGGCATTAGGCAGGCAGGCAGTTAGGAGCCAGTAGTCTTGAATTTCGAGAGGGATGTCTGACTGCCTCCAAGGGGTCCCTGATTGGCGAGTGTGCAGGCCAGGCTGAGGGACGCCCACCTCCATGCATGAATTTCATGCACCAGGCCTCTAGTTTGTAGATGAAAGACCTCCTTTTATCAGGAAGGGAACAAGAGCCCTGTCTGCTAAGTGATGTTCTGATGCATGGGTTGAATTGCACCTCTTTGTCAAGTGCATTTCTAACTTGAAGTCAATGACATATTTTCAGGAGCTAGGTTATCCACTGCCAGTGCTACTGCTGAATTATTTTATTTTCTTTTTTTACATTGACAGGAAGGTTGAAATCCTTGAGTGGAATCATAAGCAAATTGAGCCAATGACTAGGCTTCTTTTCTTTTTTAGAAATGGATAAGCTTCATTATATATATATCCTCTTCTCCATACACCATGTTAAAATCCAGTCCAGAATGGGAGAGGGGAGAGAGGCAAGTTTAGAAAAATCAAATTGCTTTATCATTAGGAGTGGCCTTTTATATATCAAACAACCTAAGATGTTTACTGGAGAAAGGTATTGTTTAAAGTGCTTAAAATATATTAATTCACTTAATCATTAAGATAACTACACAAGGTAGCTTCTATTATTACCCTTGTTTTACACATGAACCACAGAGTGGTTAAGCAACTTTTTTCATGGCCATATGAGAAGTGATAGAGCTAAGATTCAAACATGGGCAGTCTGAACTTGTGTCCTTCACTCTCATACTGCTGTGATGCCTCTGCCTTTGAAAATAATCTAGTCAAATATCATAATTTCAACAGATAAAAACATTGAAGATCAGGAAATTGAGTTCTTTGCCCAAGTCCACACACTTAGTTTCATTGTTTTCTTTAAATTATCTCATTCTGGCTACTAAACCTGGTACATCAGACTGAGTGTACGGCCAGCCCCAGGCCCTGTCAGCAGGAGTGGGAATAGTTGTCATAAAGCAGCCAAAGAAGCTATCTTTCAATGGTGGAAATGTCATGGCAAAACAGGACACATGTAGGAGGAGACAGACAGATTAGGCAGGTTGTGACATAACCAGGGCTTTTCTGAGTTCTAGAAGTCAATTAATTGGTCCTTTCTGACTTAGAAAAAGTTCCAGGAATCTCAAAGTACATTACTAACATAGACCCACTTCTCTCAATTAGGTTTTCCTTCTATTATTTTCAAGAATAAATTCCCCATTGGCTGGAGTTCTGTATTCTTGATAGAATTAGTTGCTGCCAGTAATTGAGAATCTGACATATGTTAGTGTTAGGCTCAATTAAGTGTTATCAATTAAGGGTAATCTATAATAATGAAAGCATAATATGCTAATTAGATTGGACATACTTCTGGACATCCTTCCATCCTTCTTGATGAAGCTGGGCTGCAAGGGAAGCCCGGGTCTCGGGTGCCAGCGGCTAGAGGGAGGGAAGCCTGGATCCCGGGTGTCAGAGGGAAGCTAGTACTGGCAGCTAAAGGAAGGAAGACCTACTCTTGCACAAATTTTGTGTATCGGGCCTCTAGTATACTAATAACATAGCTTCAAGAATCATAGGAGAACACTCTTTTAACCTGTGGTTTCTAAAGGATTTTCAGGTTTTTATCATATGTGTATAGATATTTTCTTTCTTGTGTCCCAGACTCTTCTAATTTTAACTTGAGCAAAGAATTAGAACAATGTAAATGCATTATAAAAGCTGTCAGTAATGAAATGAGAATATTAGCAATGAAGAGCCATATAAAACAGTGCTAATTTTAAAAAAATGTATATATATGTCTTTATTGATTTTTAGAGAAATAGAAAGGGAGAGAGAAATAGACACATCAGTTGCCTCCTGCCTGGCCCCCTTGGGGATTGAGCCTGCAATTTGGGCATATGCCCTGACTAGGAATGGAATCAGTGACCTCCTGGTACATGGGTTGACATTCAACCACTGAGCACACTGGCTGGGCAGAACTGGATTAAGTTCACTAACATGAGATCATTTATAAAAAATTTGTGTCCTTTTACTAATCATGTTTTAGAAGAGGGCTTTGTGTATTTAGATCTTCTATTTGCTCCTGAAAAGTTTAGTTAATACAAAGACTGATATATCTTGTACTTCATTTGAGAGTAGGAAGCAAGGAGAGGGCATAGATTTAAATCCATTTAAGTGCTGTTTCATTTCACAAAATAGTACTCATTTTACTGTTTACTGTACATGGCATACTAAAGAGGTAACCTTCATTTGTAAGTTTAAATATAGTATGTTTAAAGATCTTTATACAATTTATAAATATGTACAGCTTCTAAGTTGAAGGTTTTACCAGTTTCTTTTCTGATATAATTATCTTATTTGTGGGAAAGGGCATTTAGGGGTAACTTATTAAGCTCTATATAAACAACGTAGAAGCTTTCATGGTTTTAAATACCATAGAAAGATGATAATAATTAATAATCATATCTTAGGGATAAAATTAAACACATTCAACCAATCTTGGTTTGTGTGTTTTTTGTTTGTTTTTATTAAAATTGAAAACTATGTGTTGCCTTCTTGTGGAATTCTATATGCAATGTAATAACTTTAGACTTGATAGCAGACATGTGCATGGACAATACAGGGAAGCATATGGTGCATCCTTCCAGAGTTATGATAATTTGTTATCTTTCTTTTCAGAAGCCGAGTATTGAAGAACATGTCACTACAGCACACACTGCCATGTGATAGCAGCTCCAAGAAGTTGCTGATTTCCAGCAACATTGTCAAATCCATAGAGACTGAAAGTAGAAAGGTGGTTTCCAGGGACTGGTGGAGATGAGAAATGGGAGCTATTGCTTAATGGACACAAACTTTCAGTTTTGCAAGTTCTGGAAATTGGTTGCTGAACAATATAAATATACTTAACATTATTGAACTACACACCTACAAAGGTTAAGAAAGTAAATTTTGTGTTATGCATATTTTATCATAATTAAAAATTTTAAAAAATACACTTGAAGGAAGATCAAATGGTAAAGGAAGAGATTAATTGATAAATTAAAGTCTGCTGAGAGATTTTAAGTTTCTGCCCAGTTGCTGATGGCAACAGCCTGGTCCCACTCTCACAGTTACCCTGTCTCCTGTCCGTGTCCAACTACCTGCCAACCCTAAGGGAGGGAAAGGTGGCCAGCATTGCAGTTCTTTTCCATGTTGATCTCAGATATCACTTTCTATACCTCAATCCTGTCTGTCCTAGAATTGGGGTCACTGACCTCAGGAATAAAAGGAAATAGAAGTCTTTCTTCCTCAGGAAAGAGCGAAGGTCCTTGAGTAAGTCAAGGATGTGAGGAAGGACTTCCTTCTGGCAGTCCATTTATTCCTTGTTCCTGGATCTTACCTTAGCCTTGCGCTTGCTGTCATCCATGATCATTTTCCAGTCTGAGCCATTGTTGCTGTATCCAATCTTGAATTTTCTCATGGACACTTTGTTTTCTCTGTGCTTTCCCCCCTGAATGATGATGCCCCTCACAATCTTCTCCTCCCCTAAGTCCACTTGGAGCCACTCGTTTATGTATGGATGAGGTGCAGGTGGCAGTACCCAGCCAGAGCGACTGGTCACAAGGCGAATGTTTTCAGGCATCCAGTTCCTGTCCCCTTGGTTTGAGGCTGTAATCTGGGAGTCAGAAATAAGTCCAGACACCATGCCCAACATTCCAGAGCAAGGATAATCTAGAAGACGAGATGAAATAATATAAAATGATTTTATGCTTAGAAAGACTATGACATATTGAGTAAAACATTTTCTGTACCCATGCCTATTAATGTTTAAGTCTCTGTATCATTTAATTAAACTTCCCTCCTTATACCACATTCCAATAGAGAAAAAAAATCATTAAGAACATACATTTCCTTCCTTTCTGAGTTTTTTTAAGACAATTAATAACATCATAGATCTTTATATCTTCTATAGCAACCCATGTAACTTTCGAGAATAATGAGAATATCAATCATTCAATAATTGATTGGGAACTTAAAAACAAAATGTTCAACATTTCAATTATTCTCCTTTCAAAATAACACATCTCAAACAAAGACATGCACAGGAATAATAACCTATTTTTTATTAAAAATTTATTTTTATTTTTTTCCATTTCTTAAATTAAGGTATTATATGTGTACATATCCTACCATTGCTTTCCCCACCCCCCAACCCACCCTATAAAAACTCTCACCCCCCAGTGTTTTGCATCCATTGGTTATGTTTATATGCATGCATACAAGTCCTTCAGTTGATCAAGATCCAGACCTGGCTGGCCCCACCCCTGTCAAACCCCGCTGGGCTGGAGGCACAGCATCAGGTCCCCTGGCCTGGAAGCAGGCAGTGAGTGAGGCCTCAGGTCTCCCGTCATGCCCCACCAGGTGGGGAGAATGGCCTGAGGTCAACCATCAAGCCCCGCTGGGTGGGGAGGGGCACACCCTGATGTGTCTACTTCTCTCCCCCCGTGTCCCCCCAGCCTTGGGAGAAGGGCATGGCCTGAAGAACTCCTGCCCAGCAAGCACCAGGGCAGGGGCACACCTGGAGGTCCCCTGTCAAGCCCCACCAGGTAGGGGCCACAGCCTGAGGTCCCTACACAAGCCCTGCCAGGAGAGGGGTATGAACTCAGTTCCCCTACTACTTTTTCATTACAGAAACCCTGCCTCTGCTGTAGGTGTAGCCAGCTTGTGACAGCATGAGGGTTAATTTGCATATTACCTCTTTATTATAGGATTAAACTATGCCATGTTATTAGTTGAACCTTAAGAATTAATTACTGAGATACATTCTAGATCATGGACTGATATACATTATGTATATCATGTAACTTTTTTCCCCACACAGTTTGTGCCTACTCACATAGAAATTATGCATACACTTTCTTTTCTTCTTTATTGATTAAGGTATTATATACGTATCCTTATCTTCTATTGCCCCCATCCTCCCATTCATGCCCTCACCCCCCTGGTGTCTGTCTCCATTGGTTAGGTTTACTAGTATATATGCATGCATATAAGTCCTTTGGTTAATCTCTCCCCTTTACTCCCACCCTCCCCTACCTTCCCTCTGAGGTTTGACAGTCTGATAGATGTTCCTCTGTCTCTGGATATGTTTTTGTTAAGCAGTTTATGTTGTTCGTTATATTCCACAAATGAGTGAGATCATGTGATGTTTATGCATGAACTTTCAACCAAGGATGCCAGGCCTTCCATAGGATGTCCTTGAATAGCCTCTTCTCAGATAGAGGCAACTAAAATGAAGAACTTCTTCACCAGGGGTGTCAGGTATAGGGAGGTTTTTTTCTCATTCTGTTCCTTGCATTTTGCCCTTCCCACTATCTGACCAGTTAAAATCTTGACCCATTTTCAAATGCCATGTCAGTTATTCTCATCTCTTCAACTGGGGATGGTTCTCTTTTCTGGAGGTCTTCTCATATATCAATGGCCACATTCAGTTCCTTAGATGACTACTATTTGCCTCCCCACATTTTAAGTTCTCTTGATGGAAGAACAAAGTCATATTTAAATTTTTTATTTTAAATTATAAAAAAATTTCTTTTAAATTATAAAGCCTTGCTTTATAAATAGTATTTGCTCAACAAATATTCATTGAATGAATCAAATTATTAACACAATAAAAGGCAGCTGTCCATTTTCAAAGCACCTTTTCCAAATGGGATCTAGAAACTAACAATAAATTCAATGGGGCATATGAAAAGATTTACAAAAACTATTGGGAGGGCTATAAAATTATAGCGTTAAAAATAGTTTTTTAGTCAATGTGGTCACACCTGCTTGATTCAAAACTAGCTTTTATAAAGAAATGTTTAGCTGGTAATGAAGACCAGATGTTACCATTTGAAGCAAAACACAATTAACTTGAATATTGTAACAAGAGCAGAATCTTTACCAAATTAATATCCTTTCTCTAATTCAGAGTTGGCTAGGGGGCAGTTTACAACCCACAAATCTAGCATACCCAACCCCTATTGGGCCAGTGAATACATTCGAGGACAGACTACCATCCCTTCTGTCTGTCTGTTTCATCCAAAAACAACAAAGAACAGTAAAAGGGAATCTCGATTGGCCTTTGACCAAAAATTTTGAGAGTCTTTCAGCAATGCTTGGGAGGAAAAAAAAATTAACAGTTCAAGGTGTAAATGAGATGGAGGGATTTAATTACATTTTCCATAGTAGTAGGCTGGGTCAGATGTACTTCATCCTGGCTGCATGTCAAATCCTTGGGAAATAATATTTCCAGATTTAGCAAACAAGCAATCAGATAAAAACAAAAAAAAAACAAAAAAACAAAAAAAGAAACATGATGCCAAGCTAAATTAGAATTTCAGAGAAATAAGGAATACTTTTTTATTATAAGCATGTCCCAAATATGGCATGGAACATATTTATACTAAAAAATTATCTGTCATTTATCTGCATAAGACTTAAATGGACATTTTTTATTTTACATGGTAACCCTGTTTGCAAAGCTTAAAACCAGTCCTAGATGGAAAGAAGAGATAAGTCTAGGATGGTTAATTGAAATGGTTGTTTTCACTAACATTATTTTATAATAAAATCTTTGTACTTTAAATGGGAAAACTGAGGTATACTGATAAGTCAAATTCTCAGTTAACTGATTTTCAAAGAATGAGAAAGTAATAACTTCAGTTGACGGAATAACCTGAATGATAATTAAATCTTCCTCTGATGATTCAGAGGTATCTTTAGATCTGAGCTTATCACTGAGAAGTTCTAATTAACATAGGAACACACTAATGTGTGCAGAAGCACTACTTAATACATGACTGGGTAACAAATACAAGTTAATAGAGTTTGTAATGTGTTCTCATACATTAAGCAGTTAACCTACAAGATTAATTTTACCAATTTCCATAATGATAAAACCTGCTTTGTCAATCACTTATATAGTAGAATAGTTTGCTACATTCTTGTTTATATCTCTATAGAATGACACATCATTGTATACTCTGGATTACCCAAGATTAAAAATTTCAAAAAAGTATTTTTTGAATACTTTAAATCTACAAAAATTAGAATAAAATGGGGGTTCTGGAGAGTTTGGAAGTCAAGTGCAGCATTCACATGGTAACTTTTAATTCAATCGTTTTTAAAAATTCAGATTGAGTTAGGACCTGCCTCCTCAAGAGGATCTCAAATTTTGAGATCCATCACTTGCTTCTCAGAAGGCATTGATAAAACTGCAATTCATTCATTCACTAATTCATTCAAAAATTAGCACGTGGAACGCCATTATGTTCCAGGCATATAAGACAGAATAAAAAATCAGTCCACCAGGACCACTTCTTTCATCAGCCTCTGAGGGGAACATGGCATCCAAAAGAAAATTTTCTCACTAGCGTGTCTGCTTGCTGGGGTTTATTGTAGGTACAATTTATTGTCTATTATGCACTATCTAGTTACTGGGTACCATTTAGAAAGCACTTACTCTAAACGAGATATGTTACATATATTCTTTCACTGAATCCTTATTATGGCTGAATTAAGTTTAATTTTTTTAAAAATATTTTTAATTGATTTTAGAGAGGAAAGAAAGAGAGAAATAAATACCCTATATAATGTTAAAAGATAGTCCATCCTGCACTCTCCACACTGGGGATGAAGACAACAACTCAGGCATGTGCCCTGACCAAAAGAGAACCATAACCTCCTGACTCAACCACTGAGGCACACTGGCCAGGCTGAAATAAGTTTAAGCTTACGGACCAGGAAATGAAGGTCAGAGGGACTAAATATCTTGTCATGGTCACACATTCACTAATGGATAGCTCAGAGCCAAGCCTGGATGTCTGTGTATCTTCTGTCCATGTGACCATCATTACTACATCTAGCCTCTTTAAAAAAAGCCTGCCTTGATAAATTATTTGGATATTGTAACTGTCTTACTAGAGAGGAAATATCTAAAATAAAGTAGGGGTCACAAATAACAAACTAGCCCTATGAGCCTAAAGGCAGTATCTTATTTGGAAAAACAAAACAAAACCTCAGGCTATATACAATAGTTATAAAATAGATTTTGTTATTTCAGATATCTGGTTAAATAACTAAGTCATTTAATCATTTTAAAAAATACAAAAACATTATTTGCCTCATTTAATCATTTTAAAAAATACAAATACATTATTTGCCTCTTTACATTGCCTCTTTACTTTCTTATAATTAACTCTCAAGAAAATCCTTATGAAAATGAAAACAAAGCATTCAGGGTTAAATAAGTATTTTATTTAACTAAAAGGAGAGTCTGGAAATTCAGGTCAGACGAACACATTTGAAGTTTTTATAAAGTTTACCCTCCCCCCCTTTTTTTTGTACAGTGATATGAAATTAAGATGGAGTAATAGACCATAAATTTCCACTTTGACTTAAAATGGCATTGTCTCTGCAAATTTATGGGAACCTCTTAAATTTGTAATGCTTTGAAAATGACCTAAAACTTGCCCTTATATAACTTCTGAGAAAAAATAAAGCCAAGGTTATATCTTACTTTTCAATGTCCTTTCCTCCTCCAAACCCTCCCACCCAATTCCTGCCTCCAAGCCTTGACCTTTCTAAGACTTAGGTCCTAAAACAATAAACATGTCCATCTCTATGATGGAAATAAATAACATTTTGGTAAGAAATCAAATGTCAGCTTTTACTTTCTAAAATGGGGCTACTATAAACAGTGTAGTTTTATTTTCCCCCACTTAGTTTGTTCTTTTATAATCGCTTACAATTTCATGGAAAATAGCCTGGGTGACTTTTTTTTTGTCCCCCTTCCAAAAAATCAGTATTTCCTTACCTAAAAATAATTATACTAAAGAGGATAAAAATAAAAACAATAGAGTTGGCCTTCATGGAATGAGAAATTAAATATCCTAAATATGTATACTAATATAACATTAAAAGATAGTTCACAGACTTTTAAAAGTTGTTTACTTTTCATTACTTTTGGTGAACCAGTTATTGATTCTGTTTTGAATATTTAAACTTACTCTCAAGATTACATTGTACTACTCTTTTAAAAATGAAAACATTGCATTATATTTACTTAAATAAAAGGGAACTCTGATGTGGCTGCTATTTTCCTCAGAATTCCCAGTGAACAAGTCAAAAAAGTTCTGATGGCCATACCAATACAGTGAGAATAACAGCAGGACATTCTTTTCCTTTAGCCCTGTCCTAACCTGGCCAATTTTTATTTTAGCTACTTAGTCTCTTAAAACTACACTTTCTTTATCTCTTAAATAACCCACCTACTTGTAGCAAATTTAACAGACTTTAAAGTCTTATTAACGCCAGAATAAGCAAATTAAAAAACTAGAAGTAATGCCCAATTTATTTCTAAAATTAGTATTTTATTCGATAAATGATAGCTATTGAGACAACAGCTAAGAGAAAGTTGTCAAGGTAGTTAGTTAGTGAGTAAGAGAAGAAATTCTTGCAATTTAAACTCCTTAACTGTAGTTAATGAGGCCACCTCTAGAATTTAAAATTAAAAAGATATAGCAAGAGGAGAACATTCCATGCAATATGCAAATAGACAAAATGGTGGAACAACCAAACAACCAAATGACCAGTCACTATTACATGCACTGAGAGCCAGGGTGTATGCATGGGACATGGCAGGTGTCGACAGCAGGTAGCAGAGCACAGAACATGGTGGGCATCTGCTGTGGCAGGCTGGTGGAGCAGGTGACCAAGGTGGGTTGCTGGTCGCTGTCATCAGGGTAAGCCTCTGATGGTTACTGAAAATTCTTTGCTCTGCACACTGGGGTGCTGCCCGCACCTGCTGTTGGCACCAGAGCTGCTGCCTGCACCCATTGCCGGTGCCTGGCAACAACACTGATAGCTTTGGTGCCATCTCTTTCAACTCCCCTGAGGGCTTCTCTACCTCCCCTTGCTCCTGAGGGGCAATTGGGGCAGCAGCCATCACTTGTACCCACTGACAGCACTGGCCCTGCTCACACCTGCTGCTGGTGCTGACCCCAATCGCACCATGCCATCAGCCCATCAGCGGGTACAAGCGGGACCAGCATTGTCAGCTCATGGGAGCAGCAGTGGGAGTGGGGCTATTGGCAGACAGGGGACCGGGGGCAATGGTGGGAGGCAGGAACATTGAGGATGAAAAAGACCTGCCCCTGAGCCCACCACAGCCTTGCTGCCCACAGTTTCTTTCAAGGTGCACACATTTGTGCACTGAGGTCCTAGTTTACTATAAATCTACTAAGTACCTATCAGTGTGCTCAGCACTTAAGAGACAGAGATAAAAGGCATGGCACTTGCCTTCATGGAGCTTACAGTTTAGTGGAAAGGCACCAGTTCACAAATACATACCACATGCCAGCTGTGTTAAGTGCTTTATATCCATGAGCTTATCCATTATCAGAAGAGCCCTGAATGGTGTATCTGAGTATGGACTGTTTTCCAGGTGAGAGAACTAAGGCTTTGAAAGGTACTAAACTTCCCAAAGAAATAAGCTAGTGAATACAATAAGAGAATTGAAACTCAGGTTTGTCTAAGTCCAAATGAAAATGACCATATATATACAAAATGACTCTTCCTGAATTTAAAAGTTTATATAAATCATAACTAGGCAATCTTTAAGCTGGAGCTTACCTGTTATCTTGCAGCCATATACTTCAAACCTCATAGATATACCATTTTCCCAAGTCAGAGGTTTAATTCGGACAAATCTAGTTATCAGTGGTTTGGGGAAAACTCCAAATACAACATCTGTAGGGTTGGTGTTTCCCTGAAAGATCTATATGAAAAAAGAAAGGGACCTTTAATAATAGGCTTTTGGGATTGAAAACAAATCCAAAATACATCTTCACAAATGTTTGTAAAAATTATTTACAATTTCAACATTGTCTATCCAAATTGATATGGTTTTAATAACTTATCATGTGTTGTGTTGTTTTTTAAATGATGGCAATCAGAAAGAATCATGTCTAATATAGAACTAGAAGCCTAGTGCATGAAAATTCATGCACTGGAGTGGTGAGTCCCTCAGTCTGGCCTGCCCCTTCTCACAGTCTGGGAGCCCTCAGGGATGAGAGGTGACCCGGAATCAGGAGAAGGTGACGACTCATCACACTTCTGCTGCTGCCACTGCCGGTAGTGCAAGCCTTGGCTGGCCCTGTTTACCTGAGCCTCAGGCTGCTCTGGGTGGCTGGGCAGTTGCCATCTGAGACTTTCCTGTGCCTGGGGGCCAGCCCTGGGTGGCTGGGGAGCTGAGGGGACTGGGCGCCACCATCTTTGAGGATGTGACAGTCAATTAGCATACTCCCTCCTTATTGGCTGTGGGCATTACCATCTTTGCGATGGTGTGAGGGCAATTAGCATATTCTCTCTTTATTAGATAGGTTTGTCCTAATTATCCATTCAATTTTCAGAGTGGTTAGAACCTCCAGAGCACTGTTACAAAGGTAATACTTATTTAAAAATGCACACTATTATATTAAAAAGTGGGCAATTATTAGCTTTATCATATGGACCTATAAAATGCTAAGGACATTTGATGGGAACTCTCCTCTTTTTACTTTCCCAGAAACTCTAAGACGGTCTGCTTTTTAAATTCAGTGTAAGGCCTGGCTTTTTGAAATTCTATGTTCCCTGCTATAGCACAAGGTCAAGTGGCTTTCTCTCACTCCCATTTCTTGATGGAAGATCTTTTCTCTGACAATCATTAATTACTTTAAACTTTCTTAGTTATTGGCAAAATTTTGTTTTAGTTGTCAAAATAAAAACTTAGTTATACATAATGCATATTTAGAACTCAGCTTTTCTAGGGCTTCTGTCTAGTTTTAAAGGAGTCATTTTATTCTACCGCAGGTGTAATGATTGCCTGTCACAAACCAATTTCCCACAAGTACTTGTCAGGACCACGGTGCCAGGCCTGGTGCCACAGACATATTCTCTGGCCAGATGTCCAAGCAGTAGTGACTGTTTGCCTTTGTGGAACATTCTGTCAGTAGACCCACCTCGGGTGAAATCACTTTCCTGGATTCTACTTGGCCCTGGAGTGGGGATGGCCTGTATGAAAGTGGCTGTCTCAGGTACATGCTATGGGTGACTAGCATAGCCAGGCCAGACTCTTCTTCTCAGGTGGTGTAACTCAAATTTACTGAGCTCATCAGTGGCATGAGTTTCCTCGCCACCTTCCCAAATAAGTTCATAGAGGAGAACCATAGTTTCCCAAGGTTTGCTCTTCCCCTGGGAGAAAGGGCTTGTAAAAGTCAAGATGGTGTTTTTACTTCATTTAGCTTAAGTGGCCTGCACAATTGAAGAGGGTTAAAGCTTTCCAAAGTTGGCTGTTAGCCTGATCCCTCTCCAGAGAAAATAATATCATAATTTATCCTAGCCTGTGATGGACTTCAGATGCCTATCCTACTTCAGCGTCTCTCTCTGGGAAACAATCCGTATGGGAGCATTTTTGTGTGACAAAGAATAATAGGTAGCTGCCAGAAAGAGTAGAGTCCAAACTATGGTGCTTAACGTGTCAACAAGCCCTCTTCAGGGAATCCCAGGAGTCTGTTAGGAGCACAGTATGCACCAATGCTCAGCTCACATTGAGGGAATTTTTTTTTCTTTTCTGAAAACAACCTAAGGACATGCATTCTATTCAACATGGAGAGGTTGTGATGGTCCCAGGATGCTCCTGCTGAGGTACAGCCAGCTCTCCTTGAGGAAAGTAGGAAAGAGGGTAGAGGGCAGTAGCTGAAAGGCCCCTATGTATAGAGAAAAGCATGTAGCCAATAATAACTAGACTCTAGTGGAAGCTCAGATTTCATTAGGTTCAATAAAAGTGCTCAGACAGATACCAGGTATTTATCTTTGTTAAACCTTTCTATATTCTTTCTGCCTCCCACTCTGAAAGCTCTTATGTGTGCTGATAGTGGACATCTATTAAGAGCTGTGTGCATTGCCAGATATCCCTTGAGAACTTGTGTATGCTTCCTGACACCACTCTGAGCCTTGTGGACAGCTAATGGACAATAGCTTCAGAGAAGGTCTTGGAGATATAGCACTATTTTATTTTAATATATATATATATATATATATATATATATATATATATATATATATATATATATATAACTAGTGGGGCCTGGTGCACGAAATTCATGGGGGTATGTGTGTGTCCCTCAGCCTGGCCTGTACCCTCTCCAATCTTGGACCCCTTGGAGGATTTCTGTGGGATCGGGCCTGAACTGGCAGTCGGACATCCCTCTCACAATCTGGGTCCATTGGCTCCTAACTGCTCACCTACCTGCCTGCCTGGTCACCCCTAATCTCTATGCCTGCTGGCCTGAATTGCCCCAACTGCACCCCACTTGCCACCTGATCATCTCTAAATGCCCCCCTGTCACCTGCTGACTCTCAACTGGCCCCCCTGCCAGCCTGATCACCCCCGACTGCCCCCCTTGCAGGCCTGCTTGCCCCAACTGCTCCCCCTGCCAGCCTTCTCACCTCTGACTGCCCTCCCCCACCAGCCTGATTGCCCCCAACTGTCCCCCCTTCCAGCCTGTTCACCCCTAACTTCCCCACCCTTGCTGACTTTCTTACCCCCAACTTTCCCCCTTGCTGGCCTTATAGCTCCCAGCTGCTTCCCCTGCCGGCTTTCTCACCCCCAACTTCCCCCTTCTTGCCTCCCAGCTGCACCCCCTGCCAGTCTGCTCACCCCCAACTGCCCCCTGCACTGGCCTTCTCACACCTAAATGTCCCCCCTGCCAGACTGCTTGCCCCAACTGCCCCTCCCCCCCACTAGCCTGGTCACCCCAAACTCCTCCTCCTGATGGCCTGCTCACCTTAACTGACCCCCTGCCAGCCTGCTTGCCCCCAACTGCCCCCCCGTCAGCCTGCTCACCCTCCCATTCTGGCCTGCTCACCTGCTGGCCCTCAAGGTGGCTGCCACAGGGAAAGCGTGGGTGGGGCAGGGCAGGTGGCAGCGGCAGTGGTGGTGTGTGAGCATAGCCTCAGTAGCCACTTGCAGAAATCAATAACATATATATATATATATATATATATATATATATATATATATATGTTATTGATTTCAGTGAGGAAGGGAGATGGAGAGAGATATAAAACATCACTGATGGGAAAGTATCATTGATCAGCTGCCTCTTGTATGCCCTCTACTGAGGATGGAGCCCACAACCCGAACATGTGCCCTTGGCTAGAATTGAATCTGGGACCCTTCAGTTTACAGGCCGACACTCTATCTACTGAGCCAAAGCAGTTAGGGCAGCATTAATTTTTTAAGGAAATGTCCTGAAGGTCAGAGTCCAGTTCTCCCATGCTCTCTTTTTAAAAAATATGTTTTTATTAATTTCAGAGAGAGGAAGGGAGAGAGAAAGAGAGATAAAAACATCAATGATGAGAGAGAATCATTGATCAATTGTCTCTGGCAAGCCCCCCACTGGGGATTAAGCCAGCAACCCGGCATGTGGCCTGACCAGGAATCAAATCTCAGACCACTTGGTTCATGGGTCAACACTCAACCATCGAGTCATATTGGTAGGGCTCTCTGGATTCTCTTGCTTGTGGTGTGTTCTTAGCATTAGTGTGTCCCCCACCCACACCTCCAATCTATTTGTTTGAAATTAAAGCATGTCTGCCAAAAACTACTCCAAAACAAGAATAAGCCATGAAACTCAGGGTAGAATTTACTTGCTTAATTGCCACAAATATTGTTTATGACTGTTTTTCTTTCCAAATAGAGGATTGATTTCATGTCCTCACCAGCTAGACAGTGGCCTTGAACTTGCATGACCACAAAACTTTCCTCCCACAGAGCAGCTGCATATCTGTATCCTCTTCAATCTTGTCTCCCCTAAACAAGATTGAGGACTTTGCAGCTAATCAAAGGGAATTAATAGTTCTCTCACTTCACACTGGGAAGCTTTTCTCAGTTTAGGGCCAGGAGTAAGTCAAGGCCATGAATGCTCCAGAGAGAAATAGAACATGTTAACTGACCTCTTCTCAATTCCAGAATTTCAAGTTACTGTACCTGGATCTTTGCTACTATCATTATCAATTCTCTACTTTTTACTTAACCTCGCACAAGCTTTTAATTTTGGAGAAACAGCAAGTGTGAGTTCTCAGAAATCGTTTGATTGCTAAATCAGAGCTAGCATAACTTCATGTAAACAGGCAGGTTGAGGACAAAACACTTCAGTTCCAAATGATTTAGGGCAGAGCTCCTGCGGACAGGGGTTTTCCTCCTTGGTTAAAGCAGTGAGGAGCTGGCATATATGTGATCTTAGGGAACATGATGGACTAACTTGCTTTTTTTTTTTTTACAGTGCATTCTCACAGAAGCAGCCAAAAACACTTTCAAATTAATTTGTGAGCTACAGAAGATAGATGAAAAGGACTTTTCTAAAACCAACCTGTTACAGAGAGGAAGAAAGAATGAATCCATGAAAGAGAATGGAGAAACACAGGGAAAACAAAACTCCTATGATTCTAAGAGGACAGTATTCATCGTATGCATAGTCCTTTTCCTTGTATAAAGTGACTCTTGAGTTTGACAGTTTGGCTGGTATTGACTTTTCTTGGACTCATCCGTATAATTTGCTTTTGGCTGCAGGATCTGGGAACATGACACCACTTTGGTCAGCTTTAAACCTCTAATTACTCTGTTCATTTTAAATCAATTAAAAACTGAACCAGACCAGACTGAAAGCTCCCAAACAAGTAAAATTGATTGTCCATTTCAAAGAATAAATTGGTTGAAGGGATGGCAGACAAACTTACAACAGGCTTGTTTCCTTCTTTAATGGTGATCCAGTCTTCCCCATTGGAACTAATGTCTATTTTGTAAGTGGTGACGTAGTATTTCTTCTTGGTTTCCTTTGAAATAGCTCCCTGTGTCCCAACAGCAGTGACAAAGCGCAGAAGGCCCAAGTCCACCTGCAAGACAATACACATGTGGTCAGCACACCTGCACAGCCATCACCTGGAGCATATTCCCCTGTGGAATCCATAGTGTAGTTTCTACCAACCTGGAATCAATAGGGCCTAATTCCTTCTGGCATCAACAACCCCCAAATTTCCCTTCCCGTTGCTCTAAAAAAAGGCAAAAATAGAGAAGACACCAATTGCCCTAGGTAGGCAATTGCCAGAAAAGACCTTTCTCATTGCTGCAACCATGATTGTTTAATTCCTGGTACCAAAGAGAAAAAGGGGTTCAATATCATGTTGCTGTGTTTTCAGAGAGTTTAAAAATCTTCTCCAAACAGCTCATCAACATATGCCATTTTACAAATAGAAAATCAAGGCAAACAAGATAACCTCACATATAGGAGACTGGAGAGGCCTGGAATAGAACTTAAGTCTAACATGGTCCTATTTTTCATCACTATTGAGCAGTCTACCTCCTTGCAAATAGAATGCAGATCAGAACAATAATGACTTTGAAAGCACTTTGAGTGTTGTGGTTTGGGAAATGGGCCCTGGATGTGTAATCTGGAATGGAGTAGAGATGAAGAGGGCAGAGTAATTTTTGTTTCTTAGATTTGAATTTCAGATAAACAAATATTTTTTAGTATAAATACGTCCCCATGTAATATTTGCAACATACTACAACTAGGTCAAGGCTTAGAAATACAAATTTAATTGGGTGTTTTTATATGTTTTCTGAGAACGCAAAATCTAACTAAATCCCAGACAAATAATCGGGTGATTTTAAGTTGTAAAAACTCTCTGATTTCCTAATGTTGCAATCTGAAAGTTAATGGGTACTCTGGACAATGGTTGCACTAAACAGCTTCAAATACTCTCAGAACACTTAATGTTTTACCCACTATCCATTGAGTCATGTCCAATGCCACATCCACTTTCAAGCTGAAGGACCCTTCAAATCTTGATGTCCAAGGGTGCATGAAGCATAGCTATTTAAATAAACTCTTCCTGTCAAACTTACAAATGGCCCTTCAGTTTGAAAATGATTAAACTTCCAATGATTAAACTTTCAAGTTAGATTTGAAATAACTCTAGAACTTTATTCCCTGACTGCCTTATTCCTGCTTTTCAAATTCTGTTTCTAGGATACAATTTAGTTGCCAGGCAGAAAAGAAGTTAACTGGTGGTTAACTATAAAAACCCTAAGTATTAATAACAGCTAACTTATTAGAAGAAGAAGCAATTGATTGGAATTTAGGCACTCAACACAGGAAGTATCCAAGTTCTCAACTAGAAAAGCCCCGAAGGCATATGCATGATGTGTCATAAAAAAAAAGTTTTCTTTTTTCAATGACAATGAAATATATTAGCAACCTCCCCATGTAATTGCATAAAATTTCCTGCTGTGCTATAACACTGCAGATTCTTTTATTTAGCACACTGGGATACTTGACATTTCATTTAATTTTTTTTTCTAACATCACTGCCACTGGGTTTAGAATGGATGAGTGACAACCTCACAAAATTATTAAAGCTGGGACTCATTGAAATTAAAATCAGAAGGTACCCAGAACTCTAACAAAACAGCCTCCCAGCACTATGAGAATTCTGCCAATGTTGAGGAAGTTCTTTTAAGTACTATCTCCTTTAGTATCTATGGGGAATGCCCTAACAGAGACCCTCCCAAACCTGATGATTGGAAGGAGATACATAGCCTTCTGTCTCAGAAGCATCACTGCTCACACTGTTGGTGTCCATGTCAGGAGACTCAGGAGGACTTCATGTCTGTATGTACACCTTTCTTATGGGTGATGCCTACTCAGTTAATAATGACATTGTCCTTGATCTATCTTTTTAGTCTCACCTGCTGTATCTATCTCCCAGACCCATTAAAATATTTGTTATTCTGAACACAAGATAAGTCTTTTCTGCCAGCATGCTTCAATGTGTAAATTTCTCTTGACTTAATCATTTCCTCTGTTGTGTTTTCTTTTTTATATTAGTGACTTTTATTTTACTTTCAGGTCTAATAGGCAAAGTAAGTCACTTGTCACTCTAGAATATTAAGTGTGTAGTTAATGTATCCACTGCTGAATCCATCTTATTGTGTTTTTGTTCTATCTCCATCCAGACTTTTATTATTTCTTTTAGGGAGTATCTATGTTTCTATATATAAAATAGATGCCTATTGAAAATTCTTAAGATGAGGAAAAAGGTTAGAGAAGAAAATAAAATCTCCATAAGACCACCATTAGGAAATAGATACAAATAGCCTCCCAGAGTTTTTTTGTTTTGTTTTGTTTTGTTTTTTCTAAATGTATGTGAATATGGTGTGCATGTTTTGTTATTATAAAAATGTGGTCATATTACTTCTATGTTTGATGAGCTTCCTTTTGTTTAGTTCTATGGCTATATTTCCAAGTCAAGATATTTTTCTACCACATCATTTTCAGTGGCTTTATGAAATTCCATGGTAAGGTTGTAGCATAATCTATTTAATCAGCATGCTACCTGTGAACATTGTTATTCAACCTGATTGACATTCATTTAGTGGACAACACTGCTCTTCTGCTAAGTTCTGCATTAAGTGGTGAGGATATCAAGGGCAGTAAGAGTGTGGGAAGCACAAATACATGACTACAGAAAGTGTGATGCAGCACGAAGAAGGGAATGTGTCCTTTACCAGAGAATTAGAGCTAGAGGTACAATAGACATTTCACAGATGGTGCTGATGTCTACTATATGGAAAATACACAATAGAAGCGTGTAAAGTGGATACAAAGGGGAAAAGTGTTCCAGGGAGAAGGAGGAGCAGGAAGTGCAGAGGCAAGGAGAAGGAAATAAATGAATGAAATGACAAACTCTAAGCAATCTACTATTGTAGTAGGTAGTTAAACAGACATGAACAGAACAAGGATAATGAGCCAGGTACAGAAAGCGACCAGGACAGAAGTCCCAGGTGCATAGCAAAAGACAATTGTAAGGTGATACCTCACCCCAGGGTGATCTTTCAACCCCTCGCATATCCATGGGCATGAAGTTTGGACCCCCTGACCTTTCCTCTCTGGAGGTATATAGGCCTCAGTTATATTCAGCTTCAGGCCCAGAAAAGCAACAAAATCAACCCCAAGACTGACCTCAGGACCACTGCATTGAATGATGATCTCCTGCCCTGTCACTAGCCAATCAATCATTGCAGACTACAATCTTGAAAGACACACCTGGAAAGCTGCTGAGTATTCTATTAAGATCTTCCCATGGGACTTCTCCTAAAATCTTCACCCTTAAACCCTTAGGGCAAGGATCCAGTGTGCTCTCCCTCCCAGAAGCATGTCGAAACCTTTTGCTTCCTTTTCCCGAGACCTGACTGTGCCTTCCCTCTGCATTACTATTACTTTCCTCACTCTCAAGCTATAAGGGTCTTTCTTTTACCTCTATAACTTGTTTCCTAAGCCTATTTCTTCTAGAAATTACTTCTTCCACCTCTATGACTTGATAAATAAATGTTCTCTTATGGTTGAAGTCTTGGCTCTGAATTCTTCCCTAACCAGAACTCAAGTACTGAGGTTGCTGAACCCAGGTCTGGTCTGACTCCATTCACCTAACACCTGGTACCTAACACCTGACCCCAAAACCTACAACACCAGGTTTTCCTCACCTCTATAGACATTCCTCAAGAAATATATTGATCTCTGGCATCTTAAAGCCAAAATAATCAATTGTCATGAAAATCATTCGAGATCAGCCATGACCATCCTCTTGGTGATTTAGCTTTCTGAATTCTGATGAACTCTCAGCAACCTCTCATTCTAAGAGATAAGACAGATGACTTAAAAAAGGCATTTGGAAAGACAAAGATACAATCCAGAGGAGTTCTAAATATAGCTACCCTCTGGGTTTGAAAGTTCATTGTCCTAACAATAGTTCCTTTCTTTCCATAAAAATTCACAAACACAATAACCATAATTAAATAACCGGCTTTTCTTCAATCCAATCAGCTGTGGTCCAATCACTGTTTTCTTATTTTGAAAAATATCATTATTTCACAGCTGCTTTATTTTTGATTAGAAGATGGATGTGATTTCACATCTGAGTTTACTGTACTTCTGTTTAATATTAAGGGTGCTGGTGAGGGGATGTGAAGATGAAAGGGGTTATGTTCACAGCTGAACATCAAATGCATTTGCTGAAATTGTTGGATGTGTCACTCCCTGTGTGTGACAAACATAAACATCTGGCACTTATCTGATGGTATGAAAATTATTTTACAAAAATTCATCAAAATCCTTTTTAAAAAATATATTTTTTATTGATTTCAGAGAGGAAGGAAGAGATAGAGATAGAGTCATCGATCAGCTGCAACCTGCACACCCCACACTGGAGACTGAGTCCATCACTTGGGCATATGCCCTGACAGGGAATCAAACTGTGACCTCTTGGTTCATAGGTTAATGTTCAACCACTGAGCCATGCTAGCTAGGCTCAAAATGCTTTTGAGTTCTAGTGGCTACCCTTTGAATTAACTTATGTAGCATTATCTTCAGAAGTAACTCAATCTGGCATCTTATTTATAATCCTCTATAATAAAAGCCTGATATGCTAAGTGTCCAGTCATCCGTCCAACCAATCAATGTGTAATATGCTAATGATATGCTAAGGCTGCTTAACTGTTTGCTATGACATGCACTGACTACCAGGGGACAGAGGTTAACCACTCAACCAGTTGCTATGATGTGCATTGACCACCAGGGGGCAGATGCTCCAACCAGTAGGTTAGCTTGCTGCTGGGGTCCAGCCAATTGGGACTGAGCAAGATGGGCTGGACATGCCCTGGAGCCCTCTCTTAGTCCTTCCCTGGCTGGCCAACCTTCCACATCCCTTTCCAGCCCCTATCGTGCACCAGCGGTGTCCCTCAGCCTGGCCTGTGCCCTTTTGCAATTTGGGACCCTTTGGGGAATTCCCGAGAGCTGGTTTTGACCCTATCTTGCAGGACAGGCCCAGGGATTCTA